GCTATAAGTTGCTGATCGGCGACATTACTAGTATAAAAAAATGTTTTTTTTAAAGTTCAGTATATATACCGCTGTTTGTAAACGCTATAACTTTTACATAAACCAATTAATTTACATGTATTGGGATTTTTTTTTAGTAAAGACATGGAGCAGAATACATTTCGGCATAAATTAATGATGAACTTTCATTTTTAAAATTTTTTTACTGGATATGTTTTATAGCAACAAGTCAAAAATATATTTTTTTTTTCAAAATTGTCAATATTTTTCTGCATATAGCGCAAAAAATTAAAAAAATGCAGCTGCAATCAAATACCACAGAAAAAAGCACTCGTTGTGGGAAAAAAAGGACATAAATTTAATTTGGGTGCAACATTGCATGACAGCGCAATTGTCAGTTAAAGTAACGCAGCTCCGTTTCGCAGAAAATGACCTGGTCAGGAGAGGGGGTAAATCCTCTGAAGGGCAAGTGGTTACACAAGCATATGTCACAGCACTTTAATGAAAACACTGAGCAAGTATCTGTTCGACCCACTCCTCCACCCAAAAAAAAGAGTGCAATCTTATGGCATTACACATGCTCAGCAGTCCAAGCTTGGTTGATGCCAATTACCTTCTATCAAATTTTTGAAATGTGGGAAAAAACTGAACTGCAGAGGCTGATTGAGCGCTGGTTTTCCAGAATGATTTCTGTTGAGCAGACAGGGGTACACAAGTACTGAAATTCATCTGGTTCCTGCTGAACTGGCCTAATTTCAATATGTACATACCCCACTTAAGGTTCACCTTTCAAGGCAATCTTACTACAAAAGATTTTACAAAACAATTTAGTGCTATACAAACTGGTTTCTTAGTCTGCTGTTAAGACCAACTGCATCTAAAATAGTTTGCACACCCAGAATTTGCTAAGATTTGTCCTGGTAGAGTGACTAAATCTTCCAACAACTATATTGTAAAATAAATCATATAAATAATTTCAGCACAACACTAAATATCCCCAACAAAACTCTATGGGGTTTATTTACTAAAACTGGAGTGTGCAAAATCTTGTGTATCTCTGCAAAGAAACCAATCAACTTCCAGGTTTTATTGCCCAAATCTTAACTGAACAATCTAAAGTTAAAAGCTGATTGGCTACCATGCTCAGCTGCACCAGATTCTGAGTGCTCCAGTTCTAGTAAACCTTCCCAAAATACCCCAAACAAGAAAGGAAAATCCTTCCAATACTGCAGATCCGATGAAAACATTTATAAGGTAAGTAAAAAACACATGGCATAACAGCATAAAATGCTTATCTGTACCTAGTATTCGAGTCCCTGTTTGCTATTTCATACATGCATGATGACATTAGCGCTTCTGGCTCTACCGTATGCATTTCCTCAGAAGGTGATGTCCACTGAGGGAATATAATTTAAGGAGTATGGTCCCAAGTTTTATATTTATGCAAGACTCATGCGTTTAAAGCACAGAAGCTGATACATATGTGTTCAAATTTGCTTTTTTCAAGTACTGAGTATTTATAAGATATACATAGTTATACTTTTTGTGTTGAGGAGATTTAGCCCAGTAGTTTCTTGTTAGCGTGATTATTCACATAGTTTCCTTCTATGTTGTGCAAGGGGTGCAAGGGACCACCTTTCTGGATACAAACTGAATGGAGCGACTTGGAATTCCAGTTGCTATATTTTTTTTAATTGCACAGCACAGTTAAAAATAAAATTTGTATCTTTTGAAGCGATACTTACTGTATCTTCAGTCTGGCACTGTCAGGGGGACAGTGCCAGATGGAAGATAAGTATTTCTTCAAAAGAGTAGCAGCAACTAGTGGCTGGGGAAAGCTGAATTATAGACAGCCACCACCAACCCTAAGCCTAGGCTGTTGTGGACACCCACTCAAGGGGTATGTCATTACAATGAACTAAATGGTGCTCACATGTCACTACATGAGAGGTGTTTGTGCATCACTAAAGACCACTTACTGCAGTTGCAGTATGTATGAATTTTTTTTTGTGACATAATAAGGCAGTGATGTCACTGCTAATTTTACGAGGTAAAATGTAGCTTTGCAACGACATTTGGAGCACATGTGGATTTATATCTTTTCTGGTTAGAGTGAAATATATTTAAAATGGTTATAAATTCAATGTTATTTACCTAATACATTCTTTGCGTTAAAGTAAAAATAGCTTTCAATAACTGTTACCCCCTCCCTTAACACTTACCCGTGTCTTGTCTCGATCCAGAGCTGTCCCTGTCTGCAGCGCTGCTGTTCTCTTCCTGGCCTCACAAGAGACTCTGAGAGCAGTGGGAGCCATTGGTTGCTGTTTCTGTCAGTCAAATCCTGTGAGCAAAACTGAGTGATCAAATACCACTGATTGCTCAGTTCTTTGTCTTCACTGAGCAGAGAGCAGTGACTGTCAGACACCAGCTATCTGCATTGCCCCTCCAGCACTCGCTGGAGCATTGGGCTGAGAAGGGGGCATGGGTGACTTGCTGAGGGGATGATCCAGCTGTCGGTCAGGAATATGGGGGGATCCCTATTTTAACCCCTTGCCTACTATGCACTTATACCCCTTCCTCCCCGGGCCAATTTTCAGCTTTCAGCGCTGTCGCACTTTGAATGACAATTGCGTGGTCATGCAACATTGTACCCATATGAAATTATTATCATTTTTTTCACACAAATACAGCTTTCTTTTGGTGGTATTTAATTACCTCTGGGTGTTTTATTTGTTGTGCTATAAACAAAAAAATAGCAAACAAATAAAAAAAGAAGCTTTTCTTTGTTTCTATTATAAAATTTTGCAAACAGGTAATTTTTCTCCATCACTGATGTGCGTTGATGGGGCTGCACTGATGGGCACTGATAGACAGCATTGATGGGCACTGATGAGGTGGCACGGATAGGTAGCACTGATGGGCACTGATAGGCAGCATTGATAGGCGGCATTGATGATGCTGCACTGATATACGGCAATGATGGGCAGCACTGATGATGCTGCACTGATGGGCAGCACTGCTGGGTGGCACTGCTGGGCAGCACTGCTGGGCAGCAGTGATAGGCGGCACAGATGGGTGGCACTGCAGGGCACAGGTGGGTTGCACTGATGGACACAGGTAGGTGGCACTGCAGGGCACAGGTGGGTGGCACTGATGGGCACAGGTGGGTGGTACTACAGGGCACCGGTGGGTGGCACTGCAGGGCACAGGTGGGTGGCACTGCTGGGCACAGGTGGGTGGCACAGGTGGGTGGCACTGATCATCAGTGCCCTGATGATCAGTGCCGATCCCTTTGCTGACAATTGCCGGTTCTCGGTAGTACGATAATCGGCAACTGTATTTACCCAGTGATCTGCTGTGCCATTGGAAACAGCTGATCACAAGGTAAAAGGCCTCCATGATTGGCCATTTACCACATCACGTGATCATCTTTGTCCGTAGGATACAGCGATCACCGAGTGGCACCGGGTGCACGCTGCTGGGGGCATGCTCTGGAATGACATCCATGGACGTCGTCCCAGGATTACACAATTGTGCTGTAGCCATACTTCAGCTATAGCACGTTTGGGAATTGGTTAAAGTCGGGTTAAAGTCAGCCTGGAACAGCTCAGGAGTGCAGAACAAAGTGCATCCCTGTGATCCATAGGAAAAGTAGGGTCAAGAGTGCTTTGGCTCATACTTTTCTTTTAACATATAGGATGCTGAAAAAAAATATTAATGAAATATGCATTAGGTAAATTTAGCAGCACATAACCTTTAGTGAACTGAAAAGAAATGATTTAATAAAATTAGCAAATAATATACGGTAACTGAAGTATTGTTATGCTTTTGTGAACTGATGCTAATTGTGTAATTTTCAGTGAAAAATAAATTAAAATAGCTCCCATTCTACAAGGCTGGAGTTGAGGAATCCCAGTGAGCTTTTTATGGTAAAGTGCAATGATGAAGATTCCCATTGCCATAAATTTCAGCTTTGCACATCTTGGTTTAATGAAAGATGATAATTCCCAGTTGCTATAGGCTACTGCACTTTGCTAATTACTCATCCTTTTATTGAACATGCTCCATCTATATAGTAGCATATGAGGATGAGAACTTGCAAGAACAAATGTTACATTTTATACTGGTCACATTTGAGGAAACAAATGCAAAACAATGACAATGTCAGCAAAAGAGCTGCATGGGAAATTTTTCAACAAGCAACAGTAGCTGGATGTTAAATTGCAAAAACAAGAGCAGCAGATTAAATGTGGCTAAGCTTAACATAAAAATATTTAAAGAGAGGAAGGCAGCTGGAACAATTAATGGTATTTGCAAGAGTGATAAAAGAAAGATAAAAGGAAGGTAATTATGTGAGAAACAACTAGTGTGTGGCACAGAAGACCCTGTCTGAATATATATAACAATTATGGACAGGTGACAGAAATAACTTGAATGGGCTGAGAGGAGGGAGATAGGAGAGAGTCTCTGCCAGGATGGGATCTGAGGGAGGGACACCCACTGGGTCTTCTTACAAGCTTGTCCTGGATATTGACTGACAGGCTGGTGTGTGTGTATGTATGTGTGTGTCTGGGTGGCACGCCTACAATGCTCATATCAAGTCAGCAAAAACAAAAAAACCAAAGAGGGTCTCCTTTCTGTAAAGGACTGGACCTAGTGTTAATACATGAGCTGACATCGACCCTCCCCTTAACCAATTACAGCACAAGATTGGGGTGGGGTCTTCTCAACTCTCTTATAAGCACCTCTCCAGCAAAGGTCCTCTCTGACAGCTTCTGTGTGGGGGTCCGGGGTTAAAGGTGTTCCAGTCTCCTGCTGAGGACAGAGAGCAGGAGATGAGCTGTTGAGCCACGGGTCGGCTCTTAAGGGAAAATACTCAGCTGCAGAAAAGGGGGATCTGCCCTTCAAAGACTCTGTCGACCATAAGAGGTGGGGGGGAGAAGAAATTTCTTTACTTTAAGGACGAGGTGAGCCCTTTGCAACAGGGCTGAGAGGCAAGGATGGAGAACGCACACACCAAAACCACTGAGGAATCACTGGCCTATTTTGGGGTCAACGAAAATACAGGTCTCGCTCCTGAACAGGTCAAGAAAAACTTTGACAAGTATGGACCCAATGGTATGTTGCAATCTCATTTTGTGACCATTCTATGTGCGATGTGTCAATGGAAATTTGTTGCAAGCTAAATATCTCTGCCAATAAAAAAAAAAAGTTGAAAAATAAAGTTACACTGTTGGTCTAAGAGTTTGAAAAGGGTTTGAGACAGCATCTAATCAACAATCAAACTTAGAGACTTGCAACGCTAAAAGTATATATATATATATATATATATATATATATATATATTCAATTAAGTTTATGTTGCTCAAATAGGAAGTTATAAAAGTTGCTCAGATAGGAAGTTATCGAAGGAATGGCTGAGAGGCGATGGATAAAGTAGATCTTTATCCTTATTTAACCTTAGTTCAGAGAGAAGCAAATGACTCACATGACAGGCAATGTTTCCAACAGAGCTTAATACATGTAGGCATCAATAAAATGCTTACCACTAAATCCTGGAAAATGTTTCATTTTCTGAGGTTTTATTGAAAAGCCATTAACATCCGTGATTTATTCTGTGACGGTACTGTGAGATTATTAGGACAAGGAAGATTATGTTATGTGAGAACGTGAATGTTTGCTGCTGGTTATTAAATGACGGATCGTGAAAATAAAATATCTGTTTCTTAGTCTAGGAGGGATAATTGAAAATGCCACAAAATGTGACAAAAGGAAAGGATGAATGTACAGAATGTAGCTATTAATCCTAGGAAGCATAGCGGCGTCACCCGTTATGGGTGTCCCCATTGCTCTGATTTGTTCAGTCATGTATTCAGTTCTTGCAAGTTTGACTATGTAAGTGATGCACTTTGCATTGAAGGGCTGGCGGAGTGCAAGACATCTGTTCTGTGCCACTTGTCACTCTGCTGTTAGCGATAGGTCACTGTAGAAGATGAGCTCTGTTTTGTCTACACTGACAAGAGGAGACCTCTATATCTATCTGTGCTTCTTGTTCTCCGTGCATGTGATACAATTGCTGCACTGAAGTGGTTTTGGAGAAAGATGTGTAATATGATGAATTTTGTACTGTTTAATAATATATATAGACTGTATGGGTATCTTCCTCTGACACATAGCTCTGGGGTTCCCGGCTGCGTTATTATGGAGTTGCTATGATTGTCTTTTACTAGTCCTGGGGGACAATGAGGGGATCTCTCTAAATGTCACATTCCTGATGTAGGAGCCACACATCAATGAGCTGGCAGGACAGCTTGCAGTAAGACTTGTGCTATAATGGCCTATAGATAAAGAAAATTACTTAAGTCCTTTACTTTTACAAAGTATGTTTTCCAGTATAATAAATATCCAATTTATAACAATTTGCAGGGGGATGGGTGTACTGTATTCTATAAATACAAACAGTTATTAAATCAGTATTATACATATAGGACACCCTAGTGACATAACGAGTATAGCGGTAATGCAGCACCTACTCACCACTGCAAGTTTTATGTATATGTATGCATATACCGTACATATCAGATGACACCTACAGGATAGTATCACACTAAAGACATACTGCACATAACTAGTCATATGTAGGCCTAGTTAAAGATATGCAGCAGGATATATAGACATTGAAATATAACTATCCCTATACATTGGAGCCTAGCTGGCTCCTCACATGGCAGTGAGAGGTATTTTAGAGTTGGGGTATTAGATCTAGCCCATGATGTCACTCGCCTTATACAGCCATCTCCGCTGTGTCCTTCAAGAGAGTCCCAGGCTACAAACTGCTGAGAGAAGAGATCCTTACCGTGGTCTTCCCAAATCTCAATGTCAGCCAGTGTGCCCCAAAATACATTCATAATAAGTCATGCATCTCTATATATAGACATATTGATACTCAGGCTTACTGCAGCTGAAGGTCTAAATTTAGAGAGAGACCTACAATTTGCACTGCTTAGATGAATTTAAGGTACAAATACAAACAAATTATCATTATTTTAGAAGTAAAAGAGACTATGCTAAGACTCCTTAAACATACTGATAGTCATAAGGTAAAGGAAGGCTAACGGTCTACAAATCCTTTCACACATAAATACCATTGCAACTAACACACAATCTTTTTTCCATCAGCAGAAAGAACAGCACAGGTTCCAAACTGTACCAAGGCTAATACTTTTCACACCACTGCCAAAATTAACTGACCGCAACATCTACCTAACACTGCAAGCGCTAACTAGAGGTTATCATGGTATTTTTCTTTTTTCCAGCTATGGCACCAACAACTAAACCTTAGTATCAAAACTTAATGTGTCACATTTTGGCCCCCCTGCTAGGAAAGAAGCTTCATTAATCTTCTAACTTACATCATATTGTGCATACAAAAAGGTCAAAGGGCACCATGGGGTTTCTACACCACTACTTTGGCCAGGATAACACAGTGTAGTGCAAGATCCAGAGATACATGTCCGGGAGCATTCTGTTCCCTCAGCATGAGGCACATACATAGTATCTGCGTGACATAAACTGACAGCAGGATTTACAAAGCTGTCACATAACCCCCAGCATAGCCTCTTGCAAAACATCATCAACATGATCATTTGACAACACATTTGCTTCATTCTTGGCCACAATTATGCCTCACACTCAATGTCTTTTGCAACACTCTTGGAGCTCTTGTAACTCAGCTCAATTGTTTACAAAAGACACAATCATCTTACTTCTGTGTTTAATAAAATATGCAGTAATCTTACATCGGTTATTATAAATACCCTGTTACTTAACGGTCGCTTGTACATAGCAACCAATCGGTTTTCATTCCCTGGAACTTGATAGAAGGACTCCTCTATGAATTGTTCTGGAAAGTCTTTACCTAAATTTAAATAATTCAGGCCTACAGCACCTAGCACAGTTAGAGCTTGTTTTTTTTTCATATAGAAAAAAGAGTTACGAGATACTAGTAAAAGCATACAGAACTGCAATCTTAAATCCACAGGGATGAAAACACAAGTGTGCTTATAGGAGAATGGATGACGTACTTCACATTCTGTTACTCAACCTGCTAATGGGAAATATATCTGTGCAAGATTTAATTGTGCGGTTAAAAAAACGTAGCTTCAATACAACTTACATTTCATCACTGGATTGAAATTATTATTAATAATAATAATAATAAAAAAAAACAAATTAATTATAGTATCAATATGAACAAGCTGCCTTAATTCTTGGAGTATTGGAATTGCCAAAAAGTAAAAACTCCTTATATACTTCTTAGGCCTACTATAAGTGTAGGTTACAATGGCTTCACAGACAGACACACAAACACACACAGACAAACAAACGCAAAACATCTTTGCCATTATAGAACAAGTCCCATTGAATGTGACTAACTCCTACTAGCTACATCCTGATCTGGAAAATTGCGAACCTTCACAGACGTCATTATCAGTCTCTCCTGACATGCGCACTTATAATTGCTGTGTCATTGCACTGTCATCATTTTTGCATATAGTTACTTTCATTCCCTGTTAAGTTTAGAAACTAATTTTACTCTCTTTTGTCTCTTTTTTTTGTATCCTTCACTGAACAGAGCTCCCAGCAGAGGAAGGTGAGTTTTTCTTGTCACATTATTACACATTTTGGCATTGTGATGTGTGCTTTGGAGATGGCCTTCCCAGGAATAATATTTCTGCAAACACTCTAAACCCTTGTCTGTCCATGACGACTGATGGACTCTCATTTCTTCCACAGGAAAGTCAATTTGGGAGTTAGTTGCAGAACAGTTTGAAGATCTGCTTGTCCGAATTCTGCTGCTGGCTGCCGTCATATCATTCGTAAGTATGCAAAGCTGCACATAGTATTCAATGGTACTGATTGACTGAAAATGGAATACCTCATAGTATCCAGTTATTAACATTATTTCACTATTATCAAAGGACAGTTAACATTGAGTGCCGGCTGTGAGTTATTGCACACTTGACATAATCGGCTGCTAATGATATACCTCAAAAGATAATACAAGCTTGTTGAGAACATAATCCCAGGCAAGGTGTTTAAATATCAAATGCTAAAATGTGTGTATTAAACAGAATCTCACAGTACACATAGCCAGTAAGGCCTGTTTCACACTGATGCGATTTCAGAGGCGAAATCGCCCTGAATCGCATGACTATGGAAATAACATTGCTTCCAATGATGCCTGCTCACATCAATGCAGCGCAGCTGTGATGTGATTTGGGAAAGGGTTCTGTGCTACTTTGCTGCAATTTACAGTGTGATTTGGCCTCGCAGAATATGCAGATCACATCCAAAATGCAACCAAAGTCGCACTATATAATCGCACTGCAAATCGCATTGCAGTAGCATGACCCAAGCCTGAAACAAAATCAGTTAGTCAAACCACAGAATAAGCACGCTGTACACCTTTAGGTCTAAACCACGCAGCCAATTTGGCCATTCAATACAGTTTGTACACACTTGTTAAATGTTTATAGTTGCTCATTCTGTTTTCAGATAGACGTTTTGTTAATTATGGCATGAACAACAGCTGGCACTTTATACACACAATTCACACAGACAAATGAGTGAGCATATTCTCCATTTTGCTCACTTGAAAACATAAGTCCAGAAGCACAGTGGCAGTACTAAATTCTAACAATATTTTTCAACTCATAGATTCATATTCACATTTTTTTTTTACTTTTCTTAAAATGTAATTGTGATACAGAGGTACTACAGATATCACTCCACTTGCATTACTCTTAGTCAAATGCTCAGATTGTATCAGGAAGAGGACATACTTGGCCTCAAATGTCACGCTGAAGGACAGAAAAGTGGAGTGTTCTCAAAGGTCGCTGTATTCCGGCTATAGCTTTTCAAGTCCACGTTGGGCCCCTTTCACACGAGCGGACCGATTTGGTCAGTTTTTCAGGAGGTTTCGATCGGACCCTCTAGTATCCTCTATGGAGCAGCTGTTTACACCTGCCTACATCCAATCCGATCCACTAAAATAAAAAAAAACGAATGGAGATCTATTCCCCTTCTGTCTAGTGGATCGGATGGCAGTCAGGTGTATATATCCGGCCGCCTATAAAGGAGAATGGGTTGTGTCTGTATCTGCACAAGCAGAGCAGACATGAACCAGCCATCCGCCTGCTCAGTGGAGATCAGCAAACAAATTCCTGCTGAGCAAGTGGACTCCTGGCAGAGTCTGCCCCATGTTGAAGGACCTAAGAAAATGATGGTGATCGCATGTTGCTTTAGACAACTGTTGCTTTAGACAACTCAGACGTTTTATTTCTGTTCCCTTCTATATAATAAAGTTAGGTTAATTACTCTCACTATACCCTGGCAGCACTATTAAGGTGATTATTATCAATCCAATCTTTGCAAACAATTTGCTGGTGATGATCTTGCAAAAATCATTCAGCATCGGCCTTTCCTGGGGAGCAGTGACAGGTATTTCTGTTGGACTTACTGGGGTTGATTTACTAAAGGCAAATAAAATGTGCACCCTGCAAGTGCAGTTGATCCAAAGCTTACAAAACGAGGAGAGTTTTAAAAACGTAAAACAAATGAGCCAGAACTTGACTTCCATCATCCAATCATGTCCAAGAAAAAATGCTGTTTTTTATTTTCCTTGCATGTGATTGGGCATTCTTTGCAAAGTGAAGCTTCAGCTCATTTATTAAGGTGTGGATTAACTGCACTTTCAAAGTACACAGTCTATTTGCCTTTAGTAAATCAACCCCTTTGTCATATTCACAGTGCATCCCATTTTTGTTTTGAAAATGTGTTTGCCAATGGGATACGGCTGCCTCCTTGTCAAAGGAGAAAAGGGAACAAATATTTGCCTACACATTATTATGTCTACTACAGATACGGAATGTACATTGTAAAATTAAGGATGGGTGGGTGTCTAGTCAACAGTTTTTTTAGTATGACATCTGGTTGTCTATATCCACCCTAAAAAGTCTTGACACTTTATTTGCAGACAGATGCCTTTGTGACTCTGTACCCTAAAAATCTGTGAATCTGATATATAATTAGGGATGTGCCCCTGGTCTAAAAGCATCTGAATTCAGAGTGTGGACAGCGTCAGCTAACACTACTGGTTATCAAACACCTCCTTTTTTATCACAAGAGAATATAAACATACCTAACCTGAATGTGATGTACTACATTATGATGACTACAGATGTCAAAGGTCTGCATTCATCAAAACTATTACGCTAAAGAAAGACACATGGAACACTTTCATAAACACCTCAAAATAATAGCACTTATTTATTACAATTTACAACCAGCATTTGGACCATGTGTTAGCTCAACACAATATAAGTGTCTCTGTCCTTCTTAGCTTGGGGGTCTGTTTTGGTTTTTCAGAACAGCCACAAACAGCCACATACTACCCAAGCACACACGTGATACTGGTAGCATGAAAGAGTTAACTGGGTTCTAACCCTGACCTTTTCTTTCCCCAGTGAGCGGCACATTCTGCAGGTTAAATTTGTCTTGAAGATAACTTGATCCGGCCAGTGGCCAGCTCAAGTGTCAGACAGCTGCTGGGAGACTGCAGGAGGAGGCCCAGTGAGAGAAGGGAGGTCAGGGGAGACAGTGGGAGTTTCTTGCCGCCTCTGAGTGACAACCCCGCATGGCTGTGTGTTTTTCGAGGGCAACAGCTGCATGAAGCATGAGAGGGCCCCATAAAATAGCTGTAAATCTACTCCACTGTAACCCAAGAGCCTGTTTATAATGAGAGCAGTTCTGCATTGACACTGTGCTGTGCAGTACACTGGCCTAGGTAGCGCATTTATTAGGGTAAAATGTGCAAAACATAAAAAGTGATGACAGGTTCTACTAAGTTCAAAATGTACTGATCCTTATGATTCTACTGTCAACAAACGTCTCCAGTGCATTCTATGGGAGCCTCAGAAGCACAGGACAAGGGGATATGTGCGATGTTTGCAACAAGAGCGGCGTTAAGAGACGCACAAAGTGTTAATCAATAACCAGCTCCATTTTTGCATTAACAGTGTTTTGAGACAAATGGCGACAGGCTTTTAATCTTTATAGGTATGGCATATTCTTCTATACACTGAGCAAGGCAACTTGGGGGTGGATTTACTGACGGCAAAAAGATTGTGAATTTTGCAAGTGCAGTTGCACTCATTTTCCTTAGCATTGTAAAAATGTGGTTGAGTTTTATTTTTTACTCAGAAAAATGTTTTATTGAACAATGTGACATTTAGTATAAAGCACTGAAGTGTAAGACCCAAAAACAGTTAACAGTACAACTCAATCAACAAGTGCACATCACAGAGTATAACGAGTACACACTATCTTCTGTTTCTGCTACTGTTCTCCAGATCAATTATGACAGAAGTAGACCTTAGCAACATTGTCATATTGTATGTACACAAAATACAAGAACAAAGAAACAAACAAGTCCAAGTGAGCATCAACCATACCAGAACCATCCAACTCCCTCACAAAGGCCCTCCAAAAAAAGGGAAATCAGGGATAAAAGGTTGAGTTTCACTTTGTACAGAAAACCCAATCATATGCAAGGAAAATTTAAAAAAAAAAAGCATTTTTGCTAACACATGATTGGATGAAATCAGCAGAGCTTTACCACATTTACTAAACTCTCTGATTGCAACCACATTTTTAAAATACAGTCTTTTTGCCTTTATTAAATCCCAACAATGTGAAAACTTGAGGACCAATGCACATGTAAAAGTCAAAATGAAAACATATATAATAAACACTATCACACAGACTGTATGCATTCTTTATTAGAAAAAAAAATCAACAGAAACGTCATCATATCAAATAAAGAAATAACCCAAACCTTTCATGGAAGAGCCTTAGCAATTTGATCTACCGTAACCTAGTGAATTTACAGACTAAGCAGTACAGAAAGGATTAATATAACAGTCTAAATATTGCAACTTGAAAAACAAGTCATCAAGTAGAGCTCTCGTATCTATCCTGACATGTTTCTTATATATCACTCAGTATTTGTCTTCATGCCCTTACTTTCATTAGCTCCCTCCCTCTTTACGCAATCTATACACATACTTGGTGTGAGTAATGCTGTATCCTAGGACTACAAATACCATAGTGCAAATTCCACAATGGTATAAAAGGAGGTATAAACACCTACCTGATGACGACTGCTTCTTTTCAGGTGCTGGCCTGGTTTGAGGAAGGTGAAGAGACAATCACAGCCTTTGTGGAACCCTTTGTCATCCTCCTGATCTTGATCGCTAACGCAGTTGTAGGAGTCTGGCAGGTAAGTACACCTTCAGAGCTGTCATTTCTCCAGTATTACTGATTGAGAGGAAATTACTTAAAATGAAAGTAGAGAAATTCACATGGAAAAGACAGTCTTAATTTAAAAATACAAAAAGGCATTTATAACAACCACAGATTTGTTCTGTTCAGTCTTTGCACAGAAATGAGCAGGGTAAAGGAACCCATGCTTTGTAAAATATAGTGTCAGGTGTACTAGGTGGATGCTTACTACTATATGACGTGGAATGTGTACCTATACTGCTACAAGAAGTTTACTAAGCCAAAGAACATCCTGCTTAGCCAAGGAGGAAGTGTGCACTATGGTGTTTTTGAACAGGTATTTAAATGTAGGTAAACAGTTAGAAATGAGATCTAAATCCAAAATTTTATATAATTACCTGTCAGCATTCGAAGCCTCTGTAGAAGGGGTTCCCAAATCTATTTTTAGGTCTTTACAATAGTTTTTGTTTTATAAGCACATTTATTTAAACAGTTTTCAGTGTTACAGTTCCACCTGCACTCCTCTGTTATGATCCACTGGGAAGAGGGAAGGGGGTTACTAAAACTGGACCACACAGAGCTGTGTATACTAACCAATCAGCTCCTAACTTTCTGACAATAAAAACCTACAAGCTGACTGGTTGCCATGCACAGTTGCACCAGATTTTGTCTGCTCCAATTTTAGTAAATTCCCCCCACCCAGTGGTTTACAACAGAGGAGTGCAGTCCTTTGCTGTCAATGCCTGATGGGGGGTGAAACCTATAATCATGCCACTGATGGTATAAACTATGAACAGGTTGTTTTACTTGCTTATGAGTCAACAGACCTGATTTACTAAGGTATAAGGAAGCAAGGTAACATGTATGAGGAGACCAGGGGCGGACTGACAACTCATGGGGCCCCCGGGCAATAGGGGATCATGGGACCCCTGTGTCCTTGCCCAAACTCAAAAAAGCCTATGAAAAAGGTACCAGGGGCATCTCATGGGGCCCCCTACTGACCCCGGGCCCTCGGGCAGTGCCCTAGTTTCCAAATGGTCAGTCCGCCCCTGGAGGAGACATGATAGCATGAAGTGTATCTGTGTTCACGTCAAACATTCAGGCACTATGTTTTAATTTCTCTTCTGATCAAATATTTGATGTGAACACAGACTCCTGCACTCCATCTAGCTTTACATGTTAGCAAATCAAACACAGTACTTCAAGCGTTACATCACCCAAAAGGGGAAGTTCCTTTTGTTCTTCCCCCCCCCCCACTGCCACATTTGAGACTTTTTGGAGGGGAGGGAGGGGGGAGCAGGTACCTGGTTTTGACAGATACCCGCTCCCACTTCTGGTCAGATGCGCAGTGGTGATCTGAGCCGGAAGTTCAGATCCTCCTCCCTCCACCGCAGCCTTCTGGAACACTTCACAGGTCCCTGAAGACTGCAGGACCACTCAAAAAGCGCAGTGCACTTTGCTCATGGGCAGTAGGGAAACGGCTGTGAAGCTGCAAGGCTTAACTTCCAGTTTCCTATACTGAAGTTGTCAGTACCTGCACCCAAAGTCGACTGAAGAATCAGCTCGGGTAAGAACATCGCTGGATCCCTGGACAGGTAAGTGTCCTTACATTATTTAGTATAGTATTTGTAGCTGCTCACTTTTAATTCTTTGGAGGGATGGTGGAGCTCTGCTTTAAAATAAAAACTGACAGACTACTGTTAACGGAATGAAAATTCATGCTTTGCTGGGTTTTTTGTGCTTTCCTCTGGATCAACTGTGGGTATAGGTTTATAACTTTTTTTTTTTTTTTAATGGTTGAACTGGCTGGACTTTTGTCTTTTTTCAGCCAGACTAACTACGAAAATGCCTACTAAAAAAAGTTTTTTTTGTAATTTAGGAAAGAAATGCTGAAGATGCCATTGAGGCTCTTAAGGAATATGAGCCCGAGATGGGAAAAGTCTACCGCAGTGACAGAAAATCTGTACAAAGAATCAAGGCAAGAGAGATTGTGCCAGGAGACATTGTGGAAGTTGCAGGTGAGCATCTTTATACCCTAATATTGAAGAATATATTTTCCTACATACTCTAATTCCAGATGTGTATCTCAATGCAAAGCTACTGTTTCAAGGTTGTTGTTTTTTTACTAACCATTATCTTTCACTTTAACATACACAATAAGGTAACTTGCTTCCCTAGCCATTTCCCCATGGTAGTCAGTGAGAAGTATTCGCTGAATGAAATGCACACAACTTGTTACCGGCTTTTGAAAGATAGCGGGCACAGGCAAATCTATGCATTTTGGAATATGTCTTTGCATTGAATCATCTATTAAATAATATGCGCTATACACAGAATGTACCTTTTCACAGAATGGACTATCAGATTCTATTTTGTACAAAATAGCCTAAAGCTGACTTTGTGGGATGCAAGTATAAAAAATACTTTTCTAAAAATGTTCCTTTTAAATTTAAAATATTATGAGCTCCTTATAGTAAAAAATGTGATTATCCTCAAAATATTGTGTAAATTTATAAAAAAAAAAAGTATGTTCTTCCAAGTCAGAGACATCTGTACTGTTTGCAACCCCTAGGGCAATCCAATTTTCTTTTAAGGGGTTCTTGCAGTCCTACATTTGCTAAACTGTAAAGCTCCTTTCACTTGGGGCGGACTCCACCCACTCACAGATCCCTTGTTGATTGGAACAGAGCAGGCAGATGCAGTTTATGCACAGTGGACAAAGACACAGCCAATTCATAAACATTTCAGCAAGTTTAAAAGATTCTGCAACTGTGAAAAACACTCCTTCCCTGATCTTGCAAAAAAATGAAGTTTTTCTGAAATAAAGGCATTACCTTTTTGGGTTTTCACATATGACTTGTCCTTCCTTCCTAGTTGGTGACAAAGTCCCAGCTGACATCAGACTCATCAGCATTAAATCCACTACTCTGCGTATTGATCAGTCTATCCTGACAGGTATGACAACCAATTTCATTTTTATGTCATACTTGTTCAGTCATCTTGTAGATTTCTCACTAAAAAATGTTTGCCTCCAACAGGAGAGTCTGTCTCTGTCATCAAACATACAGAAGTTGTTCCCGACCTCAGAGCTGTCAACCAAGACAAGAAAAACATGCTGTTCTCTGTAAGTGCTTTTGACATTGTCCCTTATTGGTGGGCTTTTCATTGCTTTCGTCTGTTGTTTTTGCAGAACAGTTGATAAACTCCTTTCCAATTCTTAGGGTACCAACGTAGGAGCTGGCAAAGCCATTGGCGTTGTAATTGCCACTGGCCCAAACACTGAGATTGGTAAAATTCGTGATGAGATGGCAGCCACTGAACAGGAGAAGACCCCTCTGCAGCAGAAACTTGATGAGTTTGGAGAGCAGCTGTCCAAAGTCATTTCCCTCATCTGTGTTGCTGTATGGCTTATCAACATTGGACACTTCAATGACCCCATCCATGGTGGCTCTTGGATCAAAGGAGCTATCTATTACTTCAAGATTGCCGTGGCTCTGGCTGTAGCTGCCATCCCTGAAGGTAAGAGCATTATTTTTTAGGGTGGCTGCAGCATGTACAGATAAACGCTAAAGCAGTAGTCCATTTTTTTTTACTAAGAGTCTGTCTTTGCACAAAGGTCTCCCTGCTGTAATCACCACCTGTCTGGCCCTGGGTACAAGACGTATGGCCAAGAAGAACGCCATTGTAAGGAGCTTGCCCTCTGTAGAAACTCTTGGTTGCACCTCAGTCATCTGCTCTGATAAGACTGGTACTCTGACCACCAACCAGATGTCTGTCTGCAGGGTAAGCCTACATAATGATCTTTTATGTGTCTTAATCTAATACAGGGTGCTTTCTATACAAATATTAGCACTTTTTGTGTATTTGGCATCCAAATCAATACACAAGAAGTATGTTTCAAATTGTTTTTATTTTTATAGATGTTTGTGATTGATAAAGTTGAAGGCGATGTCACCTCCCTGAATGAATTCACCATTACTGGATCCACCTATGCCCCAGAAGGAGATGTGTAAGTTTAAATATAGTAAAATGCTTAATATGAACATTTCTGCCCACTGGTGCATTCTACTCCTTAACCAATAGTTCTGTGAACTGCAAAAGAGGGAACACTAGGAGTTTCTGTACTGCACCATTTAACCTACACGCCGCGTTGGAGCCTACACTTTTACCCATTGCATATTTTTGCTTTCCATCTGCACAAATCATTATTCTTGCATTACCTTCCATTTGTCACCGTACCACCAATACTCAGTGAATCATTCATGCTGTATCTCTAATTTTCTCCCTCTGGTACCCTTCTGTCTAATCTCTTTTTATGCCGTTTTAAAACTCACTTTTCTACTCTACTATGATATCCGCCGTGTTTATGTTATCCTTTATTCTTATGTTTAGCTACTGTATATCTGCACATCTGTGTCCCCCTCCATTCTTCTCTAAATCATTTCTCCCTGTCTCACCAATTCTTTTCTCCTTTCATCCTTTCTTGGGGCTCCCTCCTCTCTTTCTATGTGGTGTCCTCTCAGTCAGAAGAATGATAAGAATGTGAAAGCTGGCCAATATGATGGGCTGGTGGAGTTGGCCACAATCTGTGCACTTTGCAATGACTCTTCCCTCGACTTTAATGAGGTAAACACAAAAAAGTCAGCACCACTACATTTCCCCCTTAAACTATCTTTGGCCTGTTTATCTAACGCTGCATGGGCTAATAGTTTTGTAAACTATGCTCTATATACTAAAAACTAAGTGTAGTGACTTCTTTTTGATTGATAAACTAATTTTTTATGTTTTTTAATTTCGGACTAGGTGAGAAGCATAGCACTCCTACTCTTAGCTGGTGAACAAAAATGATGCTACAGCTTTTAATTATCATCTTGTAGCACTGACTGGGTTACACCGACTATGTAGAAATTTACCAGACTGCGGCTTGAGGTCCCCTTCCTAGAATCCATGACAATGCAAAGCACTTTTGATACTGTAGACTGGACCCTCATTACTTAGACCCTTCTTGCCCACCCCGATGTCCCTTTAAAAATTTCTGCTGGTCACATGACCATTGTGACTGGTTGTCACTGCGGTCACATGATCCTCCAGTCTCTTCTGCTACCAATCATTTGCAAGCACCAAAAGCTATATTTCACTCACTGCTCGCTCCCAGCATAGAAAAAATGACCACTCAGCGACACATATATGCGGTGTGCAGGTGTTATAGCCCCTCCATATGTATTAGGCTGTCATAAACGGGATGAAGTACACCTAGCAGAGGTGAAACATTTAGGCTGGTATTGCTGGCCTTGTTCTGCAAATTCTAGTTCTTTTTCCATCTTTGGCGTCAGTACTCCTGAATCACAGACCTGGACCAAACATGAAGCACATAACTGATAAAAAAAGTTTCTGATGAATTCCTTATCTCCATACTTAGTTTGGGTGATTGACTCAGAAATCATTGAAGCCACAACACAAGCATGATAGGCAACAAGCAAGTTGTACAATACTGCTGATGGCACAGAAAAGAGTTCCAAAGTTTACTAAAGGTCCAGGGATGGTTTTTGCAGTCAGGGACTGACAGTGAGGCACATTTGCAACTGGAATGTTACACTAACAGGGATGTGCAAATTTATAGCTTGGAATAGATGAGGAAGCTGGCTGGAACAATCTCTAAAGGCCTCACCAAAAAACAGCTCATTTGATATTTCTAACCTTTGGAGACAGAGTATATAACATGTAGTAAGTGATATAAATATTTAGTCCCTTTAGTACCAATATATGTTACATACAAAATGCAGTATGTGCCCTATGCAAAGCATGAAGTAGTTTCTAGCTCTAATTAACACAAAAGTAATTTCAGACGTAGTGTCAACTAAAAATTGCACTAATCAAGCAAAGTTTGTGTGGCTGCTGTGCTGACATCTAAAAAGTATTTTCTCAGAACTTACCTTCTTTAACATTTTCTTCCACCAGTCTAAGGGTGTGTTTGAGAAGGTTGGTGAAGCTACTGAAACTGCTCTGACAACCCTGGTTGAGAAGATGAATGTATTCAACACTGAAGTGAAGAGCCTGACCAAAGTGGAGCGTGCCAATGCCTGCAACTCTGTAAGTACTACCACCTTAACCATTTTATATCCAGCACCTAAAGAAAAGCTTCTAATTTGCTAAAATGTTGTTTTTTTTTTGTAACTGATCAAACAGGAGAAACAGCAGGATTAGATACAGCCACAAGTTTTACTTATCCTGAAAATATGATTTACACAAAAATACATAACCTTCCAATTCGTGGGTCCATCTTGTAACAAGTTACCCCTGTTTACTACCAATATAGAAAGCTAATTACAGCATGCTACTCACAAGTTGGCTGTAGCTTTTTCAAGAGACTTTCTATACCAGACACCTGGCGTGGACTTATCATGTACAAGAAACTTAATGCCCATCTAATAATCTGCTTCTTAATGATCCCATGTAACACACCAAACACCTGTTATTGTAGGCACAACTTTTCATGATGCTTAAAAAACTGTTCTGAACAGGGTTCTATTTGGAAATTTAGGTTGAACATACAAAACTTAATTTTTTAAAGATAGTGCCTTTATTTATTTGCTAAGCTCTGAAAAATAAAGCTTTAAATATGTCATGGTTCTCAAAAAAAGGCCTAGAGGTCTTCAGGTCTATAAACCTGTTGCTGGTTAGAAATAGACCTGAATAGCTGGAAAGATCAGATTACACATATTTCAGGATCTGTTGCCCAAGAGGGACACACAAGCTGCCTCTCTCATTGCTGAGCAATGGCAAATACACTGCCTGTCTTAGGGCTCGTTCACACTTGACTGTTTTAAAAACTCTTGCCAAATGCCCCTATAGCGTTTGGCAAGCGTTGGTCTGGCGTTTGTGGAGCATTTGTTAAAGCTCGGCAAACGCTCAGCAACGCCGCATGCGCGGTTCAGCGGCGGTTGCTAGGCGTTTGCCGAGCATTAAAAACGCCCCACAAATGCCTATAATGAAGTTTGGATGGTGTTACCGCTCCGCAAACACCCCGCAACCGCACCGCAAACGCCGGCCAGGCGTTTGTGGAGCGGCACCATAGACTAGAATAGGAGGCTTCAACGCCTCCTGACTAGACCAGAGGCGTCCGTTTTGCTGCACCACGCCGCGACGCTACCGCTCCTGTTAGAACAGCACCATGTGCTGCAATGGGCAGAATTGTCCGAGGCATTTGGGAAGCGGTAAAAACACTTCCCAAATGCCTTTCTGCCGCTTGAAAACAAGGGTAGTATGAACGTAGCCTTAGTTAAACACAGGGTATCGCCAGGTACGCATTGCTGGGTTTTATTATTAGAAAGCCGAGCATGCTTTGCAAACTCAGAGTCATGGATCTACCCTGCAATAGATATTACTTTTTTTTTTTTTAATTACAATTCTTTAAAAAAAAACTGACCACACAAATATACAGTACATTCCCTTAAAAGTTTACATTACAATGGAACTAAACCGTCCTATAGTTTTCAGCCAAGGAAGCTGCCATCTTGGCCTCTGTTTGATCAACAACTGCCATAGCACTGCACGTGATCAGTTATACTGTATGTCTTTAAAAAATACATTTAACCATTTCCAGACCGGACACTTTTACCCCCTTCCTGACCAGGGCAATTTTCAGCTTTTAGCGCTATCACACTTTGAATGACAATTGCGCGGTCATGCAACACTGTACCCAAATGAATTTTTTACCATTTTTTTGAGACAGATAAAGCTTTATTTTGGTGGTATTTATTCACCACTGGGATTTGTATTTTTTTTGCTATGTAAATGAAATGTCCAAAAATTTTGAAAAAAAGTGTTTTTTTTATAAAATTTTGCAAATAAATAATATTTCATCATAAATCTTAGCCAAAATTTATTCCGTTATCTTTTTAGTAAAAAAAAAAAAATCCAAATTAGTTTATAACCAAAAATTAAAATTTTTAAACATTTTTTTTTTTTTACATTTTTATTTTATTTTTCTATATTATTATTTTTTTTTTTTACATACTGTCACCCTAGCAGTACAGTGTCACCATGGTGACACTGTACTACTTGTGGGGGGTGATGAAGATTTTTTTTTTTTACACTGATTGCTTTTACACCCATATAGGATGTAAAAGCAATCATTTCTCTTTCTCTCTGTCTGCATTCTTGCAGTCATTGAGAAGTACTGAGTGAGCTGTGATTGGTCACAGCTTGTCACATGGTACAAGGCTTTTGTGAATAGCCTTGTACCATGTGACCTCTGTGATCATTCACAGATTTCACACGTAGTAAGCAATGATGTCAGAAGTGACATCTTGCTTACTACTTTGCATGTGATCACTGATTGGCCAATCAGTGATCACATGATCGGGACCTCGTACAGAGGTCCCGTCTGACGATCGGTGTTTCACTGTGTCCGGAGGACACAGCGGGCACCGGATCGCGGTGCTGCGCGCTCCCAGGGAGCGCGCACAAGCAGGGATGCGGGGAGGCCGTTTATAGACGGTCACCCGACCCTGCAGTGCCACCATCCGGCCGTTTATATACAACGGCCGGACGGGAGGTGGTTAATCTACATTTTTGGAATGCATTTACAAATATATGTAAAAATATATGTTAAAATGACTTTTTTATATGTTAAAAAATATCTGAAGAATATATATATATTGTACTGAAATGTATTGTAATTGTACTGTCTCTCTTATTTTGTAAAGTGCTGCGCAAACTGTTAGCGCTATATAAATCCTGTATAATAATAATAATATATAGTAATATATAAAAAATGCATTTCAACATACATTTTATATATATACATATATATATATATATATATATATATATATATATATATATATATTGAAATATATTTTGTAATATTTTGAATACGACCAAAACTGTAGCATTTTAAATATATGTCTTTTCTGCATTAAAATTCTGCCAGTCCGCCCATTTTTTATTTTTACCTAAAATTCCACTTTAAGTAATTAATTTACAGTCAACCACAAATAAAGGACAACTAATGTCATCAATGAGACCTCTAACAAAGCAACACTATCCTTCTTATAACTCAGGTTATCAAGCAACTGATGAAGAAGGAATTCACTCTTGAGTTCTCACGTGACAGGAAGTCCATGTCTGTTTACTGCACACCCGCCAAGGCTTCCCGTGCTGCTGTTGGCAACAAGATGTTTGTGAAGGTATGATCAACTTTTGAGCCTTAATTAACCGTAAAAATGTAAACTGACTGAATATATTAAAAAAACTGCTTTTCACAGTGGAATTTGGAGAAATTTGTGGTACGGATAATCTGTGCCTTGTATATTTTAGTGAACTGAAATGCATAAAAATGCATTGTGTGAGTGTTAATAATATTTATACTGCTCGTCACAAGCGATAAGTAACACAGCATAGTATTTGCATACAGTGCGCAATCTGGAGTATTCATGTGTATTTTAAGTTAATTTTTTTCCTATATTCTCTATACTATAGGGTGCCCCAGAAGGTGTGATTGACCGTTGCAACTATGTACGTGTGGGCACAACTCGTGTACCCTTCACTTCTGCTATCAAGGACAAGATTCTGTCTGTAGTCAAAGAATGGGGCACAGGCAGAGATACCCTGCGTTGTCTTGCTCTTGCAACAAGAGACACTCCACCCAAGAGGGAAGAGATGGTTCTGGATGACGCCACCAAATTTGTTGACTATGAGGTAAAATGTGTGAGACTAAACTGGTGTACTCAGAATCTAGTGCAGCTATGCATGGTAGCCAAAAATCTTCTAATTTCAGCTTGTTGAATTAAGCTTTGACAATAAAACTGAGTGATTTCTTTGCAGAGCTGCACCAGATTTTGCACCATGCAATTTTAGTAAATAACCCCCAATATATGCCTTCCTTTGTGACAAACATATGTCTGTGGAGACATTTCAGCAGACAATCACAGTCAAAAAGTATTTCCCATAATAGGTAATCACCATTATAAACAATAAATAAAACCATAGCAATGAAAATCTAAAAATGAACTCACATTGACAGAAGCACTGCATATCTCATGCAAACTCATTAGTATCTTAATGTATAACCTCTTCTCTGTTCAAATACAAAGTTATCACATTATTTATTTTTACTTTTTGCAAATGTTTTATTTAAGAAAAAAGGCAGTTTCCAAAACGATCAAGCAACCAGATATAAAGAAACATAACCACAGGTACAGAATACTACCAGAAGTTTTTGACATTCATAACAGCGATACAAATTAGTGGTAGGAAATTATTGACATAGTTGGGCTGACAGAGCACCAAAAGTATGCTTATAATGCTGATTCCACACCATACCAATAAGAGGAAGGAGGATCATGAATGGTCAGACAACAACCCAGATGACTATAAAGTAATCCTAGCCAGCAGTACTAATAAAGGACTGTTGTCGGTGGAACACTCCTGGAGTGTACCCACTGTGCAGAGGAAGAATGCCAAAGTTTTTATGTATATGAGAGAGGACAAAAAGGGTAAGAGGAAAGACTGAGGAAAGAAAAAGTAGGAGGGAAAGGAGAGGAAAAAAAAAAGGGGAGGGGGGGAATTGTTAGGGGTGTCCCAGGGGGCGGCACAAATGGTCTCCATCAACCAGCACAACACACATCGAAAAGAGCTTTGCCCTCCTCAGAGTGGATAACCATGGTCCACAATTATCACATTAATTTATATCTACTGATTACACTGCTGCAGCTAACTCAACTTTTATTCCATAGACTGACCTGACCTTCGTTGGCTGTGTGGGTATGCTGGATCCCCCACGTAAAGAGGTTGTCGGCTCCATCCAGCTTTGCCGTGAAGCTGGTATTCGTGTCATCATGATCACTGGTGACAACAAAGGCACAGCTATCGCCATCTGCCGTCGTATTGGCATCTTTAGTGAGGATCAAGACGTGGCAGGCTGTGCTTTCACTGGTCGTGAGTTTGATGATCTGCCCCCTGCAGAACAGAGAGATGCCTGCAAGCGTGCTTCCTGCTTCGCCAGAGTCGAGCCAACCCACAAATCCAAGATTGTTGAGTTCCTGCAATCCTTCGATGAGATTACAGCTATGGTACGTGAATAAATTATACAAAGGTTTTTCTTTATTCCAAAATATATCACACAACTTTCCCTCTGACTGGTTTCATAACTGTACTATATTTTTCTACTACAAAAGTCTAACATCGTATATTACCTTTATTTCGGCCAGACTGGTGATGGTGTAAATGATGCCCCAGCTCTGAAGAAGGCTGAGATTGGTATTGCTATGGGCTCTGGTACTGCTGTAGCTAAGACAGCCTCAGAGATGGTGTTGGCTGATGATAACTTCTCCACCATTGTGGCTGCAGTAGAAGAGGGCCGTGCCATCTACAACAACATGAAGCAATTTATCCGCTACCTCATTTCCTCCAACGTAGGAGAGGTCGTCTGGTGAGTTATTCATTTTTCGAACACCATTCATATGTCCCAGGGATGTTTAGAGATTTAAAAAAAGACTCCAAATTTTGGGCACAATAAAGTGATACGTTTCAAGTCACATTTTATAGCTCATTTTGTAATACTTTGGTTCACCCATCAAATGAAGTCACTATGATGTTTATAATTTTCATTGCCAACCTCTTTTAATTTGGAACTTGACATCTAGGTCCATATTTTTGTCTCAAACAGTATCTTCCTGACTGCTGCTCTGGGTCTGCCTGAGGCTTTGATCCCTGTACAACTGCTGTGGGTGAACCTGGTCACAGATGGTCTGCCTGCCACAGCCCTGGGCTTCAATCCACCTGATTTGGACATCATGGACAGACCACCACGTAGCCCCAAAGAGCCCCTCATCAGCGGATGGCTTTTCTTCCGTTACATGGCCATTGGAGGTATGGTGCATTGCTTTGTATTGCAGTTTACTTTTCTTGTTCTTGGGTCATAAGTCTTTGTGTTTCTAACCATACAAATCATCCTTCTGTGCAGGCTATGTCGGTGCAGCCACTGTTGGTGCTGCTGCCTGGTGGTTTATGTGTGCTGAAGATGGACCTGCCGTAACTTTCTACCAGCTGGTAAGGATATAGTTTTGCTTTTTCTTTCACATGTTTTCTTGAAAGGACAGTTTTGTTCGAGTGATGAATGCACATTTCTCCTTTACTACTTCAAGAACATTTTAAAGGAGGAGAAAATTCAAAAGCTCCACCTTGCTATTTTATAGAATATAAGTTGGTTTTTTTTTCTATTTTCTTTCCACACCCAGAGCCACTTCATGCAGTGCACAGAAGACAATCCCGACTTTGAGGGTCATGAGTGTGAAATCTTTGAATCTCCCGTTCCAATGACCATGGCTCTGTCTGTGTTGGTCACAATTGAGATGTGCAATGCTCTCAACAGGTAAGAACACTATCAGAATCTTCCTTTTTTTTTTCTTCGTTTTTGTCACAATTTCCTTTTGGATAATATCAGAATGACAAAAAGAGACATATTGTTTTCTTCTTTTCTTCTTATAGTCTTTCAGAAAACCAGTCCCTGGTCAGAATGCCCCCATGGTCCAACTTTTGGTTGCTGAGCTCTATCTGCCTCTCCATGTCCCTCCACTTCCTTATCCTCTATGTTGACCCTCTGCCTGTGAGTGGAAGTTTTAAAGTTGCATATTATAAACTATAGTTATTGATTAAAGTATAATTTAGCTAATAAATAACAGACCATTTCAGTCTTATAGCATACATTGAATTAAACTTTACTTTTGCTAACATTCTTAAATTGTAATCCTGGCACATACTGTATAATACATTATTTATAATGACTAGCAAAGTCATGCACCATGCACCTGAAGAAGTGCACCTATCTTCCCCCATTGTTTCAATAACCTACAGCTTCTGTCCAGCAAAAGATGAACAAAATAAACCAGTTTTGAACCTGACATTAATCCAAAAATCTGCTAGTATCAGCTTCTGAATTATATATTAGGAAGAGACTGCTGTTTTCACTTTTAAAGCGAACATCCTTTAAATATGAAACCAGTGTTGCATTTCATTCAAAAGTGCAAATCAGGAGTATTTTCAGGCATGCATCAAGCCTGCAAGCTAAAAGCAAAATGTATTTTATTAATGAATCACTAAGTTCATGCATTTATTGCACATGCTCTAGGACACTGCCTCATCCTGTTTGTTTTATGTATTCATCAGATGATCTTCAAGTTAACACCTCTGTCATGGACTCAGTGGTTTGTTGTACTCAAGATTTCCTTCCCTGTCATCCTATTGGATGAACTTTTGAAATTTGTTGCCCGTAACTACCTTGAAGGTAAGTGCAATCATTTTAGTTTGTAGCAATGGTGGCTTCCATTGTCCAAGCAAATCACTATATTTATAAAACAGTTGTATACACTGGAAGGATTCTTGTTCCATAAATATCAGCCACTTCTGACAGTGTCGCTACATTGATCACTTCCTTGTGGAGCTTATACAGAAGTGCAAGAAAATCAAACGGTGATAAAGGAATTCCTGCATTATTATGCTGATAAATGTAATGTTATTTATCAAGATAAATATGCTGAATTTTAAAGTCAGAAAGATAATTGCAATTACTATCATAAATGTGCAATCAGGAGCAATGTATCACTGTTTGAATGCAAAGTCTGGATAAGTTACAGAAATTTACTAAATATCATTTCCATTTTAAATGTCTTCATATTAAACCAGTATTTTTCTATCCTCTCCCATAGGATAAATCTTTCCTTACCACTACCCTGTTGTTGTTTAACAGGTATCCCATCACATTGCATGCATTTACAGAATTCTTGTCATTATCATCTGCATGCAGTTACCCTTATTCATTCACCTTCATGTGCTGCTCCACTGTCTGTCATCTGTAACCTAACCTGATTACAATATGTCTTCCAAATATGTCTTGTCAGTTGTGTCACCCAGTTCCTGTTTACAGTACATCTACTACATCAGTAGACAATTCAGACTCCAAGCACAATAAATTGCAGTTAAAGCTGTACTTTTACATATATTTCAATCTAGTAAATAATTTATTTGTACTATGTAATATACATTTAATACTAAAATCTATTAAACACGTTTACTTTACAAAATAATACATGATAAAAATGATCACTAAAACCTGTAATTAAAACATTAACGCCCTACCGCAGACACACCTCACACAGATCTAAATAATTAACAATAGTCTGGTTATACCCATTCCCCTTTTTACCCCTGTCTGGGATTTCCCATTTGTCCAGGTTTACTTCATTATTTACACTATGTACCACTTTAATAAGTTCCCATTTACTTTGTCTCTTATGTCATCATACAACCGGTATAAGAACCAAGAAGCAACATGTCCTATCTTACAGTCTGTGCAATCTATGTTTGTTGCAATCTTTTTGACAGCTATGTTTGTTGCAAATGTCATTTTTCAGCAAGCATATGATATAAAAATTGTATCATATGTCCTTGATGTCAGATTTATTTTGTGCAACCAAAAAAAAGGTAATTGAATACGTTCAAAACAAAGGTTTGAGCACAAAAAAGATCATTTGAAAACATGTTATCACATAGAAGACTTTTTTGTTCTCAAAAAAGTATTATTCGTTTCTGTTGACATGTTGAAAAAACTGCATGAAAAGGGTTGGTGAAATGTATCTATATATACTGTATCAGCTGCTTCTGTGTGCACCACCAAAAATCAGTGCATGTCTGGGCAATACGGTTCAGGTAATGGGAAGCAGATCGCTGCCTAATTAGAAGGTAAGTTACTAAAGTGCAAAGTACTGAAAGTGTCTGAAAAGATACCTTACCTGTGTTCCCCATTTTACCAGGTAATTATTTCACTTCTCTAACAAATATTAGTAAAACCTTTTAGGAACGTTTGATTAGCTACTGTAAGCAACACAGATTCTCTATTCTCAGACAGCTTATATACTGTATAAGGAACACTGTGTATATCGCAGACTTAGGTAATTTAGAAATGATCTCTGCTACGTTGCAAAACACTGACAGTTTCACTTTGGGGCAGGTATGGTGAGATGAATCATTAACTTCTAAATCTTTTGGAGACTCCAGGGAGCAGATCTTCCAGCAGACTGTGGGGCTGATTCTCTGAAGGCAAATAGACTATTCACTTTGCAATTGCAGTAGCCCTCTGCACAGGAAATAGTGAATAAGGCAAAGTTCTGCTGACTTCCATCATTAAATCAATGAAAGCAAAAATTCTGTTTTCTTTTTTCTTATTTTCCTTGCAGGTGGTCAAGTATTCTTTGCAAATGGAACCTTCAACACATTCACTAAGCTCTGTGGACAATTTCCTCCCAGAGTGCAACTTCATTTGCAAAGTGTACCATGTAATTGTCTTAATAAATCAACCCGTGTCTTTAAACCCCCCTCTGACCCCCACCAAAAAGCATAAGAAGATGTCACTCAGGGCAGGCTCTTTTGTTTACTGCACATTAGTATGAATCCATTTGATGAGCACTACACCATTATTTGTCTTTGTAGTGACAGCTGGACAGAACCCAGAATTCTCATGGGGATTTATTGCCCCCGAATTACCTGGGAAATGTAAGAAGCCAGCATATGATTTAACTTGCCAGCAACCAATAAAACAGGACCTAAATTCCGGAAGCTGTGCCCAGAGAAAGGCCAGCAGACACCAAAAGACTAGTCACCAGTACTACCTGTTGGCTCCAAACAGCTGTTCTTTTCCTAATTACTGATGTACCATGCCTTATTTCACACTGTGGGGTAGATTTACTAAAACTGGTACACTTAGTATCTGGTGCTGCTGTGCATGGGAGCCAATCAGCTTCTAACTTCAGCATGATTGAAGGCAGCAAGAGCCAATGGCTGCTGCTGCAGTTCGAGTCCCTGTGTGAAGAGGAAGCGAGGGGAGAAGAGATGCAGCTGTGCACAGTGCTGACCTCTTCTCCCCTCTCTTCTCCTTCATATAGGGAAGGGGAAGCACAGGGAACTTAAAATTGTTTTTTACCTTAATGCAAGGAATGCATTAACCACTTGCCCTCCTGAGGATTTACCCCCCTTCCTGACTGCACTAATTTAACTGATAATTGCGCGGTCATGAGATGCTGCACCCAAACAAAATTTACGTCCTTTTTTTCACACAAATAGAGCTTTCTTTTGGTGGTATTTGATCACCTGTATTAATCACCTTTATTTTTAACGCTATAAACAAAAAAAAGACCAAATATTTTGAAGAAAAACTATATTTTTTACTTTCAGCTATAAAAAAATATATAGTAAACTCAAAGTTAGTTATAAATTTAGGTCAAAATGTATTCTGCTACATGTTTTTGTTAAAGAAAAACCCAATATGTGTATATTGATTGCTTTGTGTGAAAGTTACAGTGTCTACAAACTATGGTATAGATACTGCAATTTACACCATTTTTTTGCTATACAGCGCTGCGCTAGTTTAATGGACAATTGCACGGTCATGCAATACGATACATAAATGAAATTTACATCCTTTTTTTCCCACAAATTGAGCTTTCTTTTGGTGGTATTTGATCGCCTGTGCGTATTTTATTTTTTGCATTATAAAAAAAAAAGGCTGATAATTTTGAGAAAAAAAAAATAATATATTGGACTTTTTGCTATAAAACATGTCTAGTAAAAAAATTGAAAAATTTTGTCATAAATTTCTGGCAAAATGTATTTTGCAACATGTCTTTGCTTAAAAAAAATCCCAATACGTGTAAATTAATTGGTTTACGTGAAAGTTATAGCGTCTACGAATGGCGGGAAAGATACTGGGATTTTTTTTTATTATACTAAAAATGGCAGCGATCAGCGACTTATGGCGGTGATCAGCGATTTATGACAGTGATCAGCGACTTATGGCGGGACTGCAGTGGACATTTTGACACTGGGGGGAACTGACTTGGGGTCACTGACATCCCCAGTGACACCAACATAGTGATCAGTGCAAAAAAAAAAACACTGACACTGTACTAATGGCACTGGGGAGGAAGGGGTTAACTTTTTTATTAAATGAAAGGGTTAACTGTGTGAAGGGAGTGTTTTACTAGTGGGTGGGGGGGTGTACTTCACAGGAACACGCTGATCCCGAGAGATAAAGTCTTCTCTCAGGTTCAGCGTGCTCTGAACTGACAGATAGCAGAGCTGCAATGTAAACACTGCAGCCATGCTATCTGTCAGTGATTACCGGTAATCGCCGACACCCGGCGGCTAATGACCCGCCGGGATCCGGTGATGGACTCCCGCTGTCACGATCTGTGAGACGGGTAGGGCGGGCAAGCGCCTTGTGAGCGCCCCCTACCTGTTTTACAGAGCGCCGTTAAAAGACGGCTCTGTGCGCACAGGTGCCACCCTGCCGCAGTAAAAACACTGCAGCGGGTCGGCAACTAGGTTTAGTATCATTTTAAGCAAATAATCCCAGTATATATCTATAGGAAGGTGACTATTTTAGTAGAGGTTCAGGGTTGTGCTTCTGATTACTGGTGGGGCAAAAATACTGAGAAAGCAGCAGAGAAAGCTAATAAAATAGTTGCAGGGAGATCCTTGCATTGCAGATCTTTAGTTACAAAGTCTTTTCCAGCAAGGAGAACAATGAGCAGTACAGCAGTGAAATCATCAAATCTCACTCCAAAACTAGTGAGAGCAGCAGTCAGAGGCAGCTGTGCCTTCAATGATCTCACTGTATATATACAGCTATGAGGCTCAAGGCACAGGAATGTTTAGGCACAGGGGGTGCACTCTATTGGTCAGGAGGGATTAAAACAAAAGGTAAATCTTTCATTGTAATGTTCAGGCACAATTGACATTTCTAGATGTTCTTTATAAGATAGTATATCTTCAGATTTTTTAACTAACTTAAAAAAAAGATATCCAGTTTGGGTTTAATTGACCTTTCAATTAAATGTAAAAAATTGTTAAAAATTTTCTAATAAGGTCTTGAATTACACATACCCAAAAACCTTTCTGCAAGTCACATCTAAGTCCATCAATATGTAGAACAACTTAATAAACAGAGAACTAAAACACACATACATATCCCAGGACAAGAAATGAAACTGATTTAATTAAAAACATACTGCAAATCTGATTATTTTTTTCTCTTCCTTTCTTGACAGAAAAACCACAGTAAAAGGAATTCAGCTTTTTACTGAAATAAGTCAGATATCAGCCCAAAACCTCCATTAAGACTTTCTGTTACATTGTCCCTTTCTGATGTCTCATCTCAATATTCTAAAACACATCACTGCCAACCTTCCATCCGTCTTACCAAGGCCCTCACCTCCTGGTGTCCACCAGGTCCGACTGCAAGGGCTGGGTTATCGATG